AATTCCCTGAGATGTTTTTTATATCTTTTACTTGAATTGTTGAAGTTTTAAAAATAATTTAAAAGTGATGTTTTGAGTTTAGTGTTTAAGTGTTGCTGCATTGATCTTGTAAGTGTTATTTTGGGGTTTGTGGATTTGTTTTAAAAAGCATAATTATATTCCATGAACACTTTGTTCAGATATCTGTATTTTGATATTTTCGTTCTTTTTGCTGTTTTGCTGTTATAGAGTAAAAAATACTAATCTGATTAAGGTATTTGCTTTGGATAACTTATATAATTTGATGAACTTATATGCCATCTGTTTTTGCTGTTTTGCTATAAACCCTAAAACCCTGAACCATGATTAAGTGGTTTTGTTTTTTAATGCATGATTATGTTTTGAACACATATCACATATTGGTCTTGTGATATTGATGAAGGCAATATCAAGTAATTTTTTTTAAAGGCTTGACTATATGTTTTAAAAGACCTGATTATATGTTGCACACTTATTGGTTTTGTTTGTGTTTTGCTGTTCAAGTTTGATTGAATTTCATACTTTCTGTTTTGCTGTTGAAGTTTTTTTGGTTTAGAAAACTGACATGATCAGATAAAGTTATTTGTCTATTAAGTTATATGTTTTTGCTGTTTTGCTGTTTTCCTTAGACAAATCATGTTGATATTTTGCTGTTTTTGTTGTTTAATCCTGTTGATGTTTTGCTGTTTCACACTTAGTCATAGATAATTTATTAGTAGATTATAGAAAACTCTCAACACTAAACAATAAACCCCAAACCCTGAAAACCTAACCCTGAACCCCTCTAAAGTCTAAACTGAAACCCTTATGTGGTTTTGTTTTTAAAGGCATGATTATATGTTTTTAAACCCAAACCTGAAATGATCTGATTAAGTTATTTGCTTATAAACTAATCTGTTTGTGCTGCTTTGTTGTTTTGATTAGATAACACTTGTTGCTGTTTTGCTATATTCTCTACTATTATTATTTAATCCTGTTCATTGAGGTTCAAATATAGTGATTATAGGACTGAATCTAATTTAAAATAATTTAATAGCACAAACATCCACAACTAAGATAACAGAAATATTATTCATGGAAAACAATGAAATTGAAAGGAGATTACATAAACTCATAATTCAAACTTTAAAATTCTTCCATCTTTATCTTCTTCCCCATTGGCTCTTCTGAACATCTTGATCCCTCTTCAAAATGGTCAGTTTTCTCCCTCTTTTTTATCTTTTCATTGCATCCATTAGCAGCCATGAGTGGCCAGTACATTTCAGCCTTATCAGCCTTATTTGGGCTGTAAACCTCAGCCTTTACCTCCTTGTTTGGGATGTACAGTTTAGGATTAACAGCCCTTATTGGATTGTACCCATCAGCATCTGCAGCCCTTATTGGGTTGTACCCTTCAGCAATTACAGCCCTTATTGGGCTAAACACCTTCAATTCATCATCTACAGCCCATATTGGGTTGTTGGGCTGTACCTTCACTTCAGCCTCTACTGCCCTTTTTGGGCTGTTCACTTCAGTCTGTACAGTTTATAATCAGAAAATATGAATTAGAAATCATAAGAAAAATATTTTCATATATTTTTTATATAAAGTTTATGAAGGTAATAACCTGTGAAGTCATTGCTAACGGTCCAAACTCATCCAACAAAATAGGATCAAGGGTAATGCGAGAAACCGTAAATGGACCCTTATAAGATCCAAATTGATCCTTCTTCTTTGATACTTTACACATTATTGCTTTATTATTCAGAAGCTCAATCTCATTTGGCAAAATAGCTCCATCATCTTGCTGCATAATAGAGTATAATATAAGAATAATAAGACTTTGATATGTAATTTGATCATTAGAGCTTTTAGAAGAAATCATAAATGAGCATGCCTTCAACATGTCGGTGAAAACATCTTCGCACGACTTTCCAATTAATTCTCTAGCGACTTTGTCCCAACACAGCAGTGGTACAATGCCATTGTCGTACACAATTGAAATATGGAGCTTGTACCTTAAAATTTAAAAATAGTATATTATTATATCATAAATATGAACTATAATAATGAAATGTGAAATACAATTACCTAAGTATCGCAAAAGAAATCGAGTCCTTGCAGTAATTGCACCAAAATTTATCTTCTTTCGGCTTCACTTTCCGAACACAATTGGGGCACGATTTGAAGTACCAATTGTCCGATACGTCAATGATGTTTCCATATATCCAAAAATTCTTTTCCTGAAAATAATAAATAAGTAATCTAACATATAAGTAATACGAAAACTAATTAATAAATTCGTAGATGTACTATAATACAATTTTTACCTCATTAGCTTTCAAAAAATCAGCTAAGCCTTTGAATGGAGAAATTCCCGACTCCAAATCATCACGAACATTAGAAATGTAAGGCCTCACGTATTTGAATGATGAATCGCTTGGCCTTGGGTGCGAGTTGTACCTTTAAATTAAACAAATAAATTTCGACAAAAGTTAATATTAGTAACTCTTTGATCAAGTCCGCTATATTGATATAAGAAAGTATATAAAATCTCCATAATTATATGTACCTTTCTTTGAAATCCACAATTTCGGGTACATCACTCATGATTAACTTGGTAGCATCATAAATGTTACCAACTTTTATAGATCCTAAAAGAGAGCAAATTTTTTAGAGAACAACATAAATTATAAGTTATTAAAAACATTAATTCAATGTTAATAACGTACCATCTTCAAAAGATCTCGCTCGACAAAATTGCACAATTATTACACGCAAGTCAGTCACGGGATCTTTGTTCAAAGCATCAACAATGACTTGCACATATTCTTCCCATAATGTGCAAGTCAAAAAGCAGCCCCTACAAAATATATGGATAGATATTTTTTAATATGGAACAAATTTGTATTTACTTAAAAAAAAACAAAGTGTTTATTATCTTTAACTTACTCAACATCTTCTAGAACCACGTCTATGAATTTCTTTTCAATACCATTTGAATTTGTAGTTCGTACGCTTTGAACCAAAGCGATACGACCAACCAAATCTGAAAAATTAAACAATTAAAAAATATAATTTAACCTTATAGATTGTAGCAAAAGATAAATACTACTTAAATCCATGAAGAGAAAAAAAATTACCAAAAATTTTATTGGAATCGATTCCTTGAGGGTCAGATAGTTCTTTGAAGTCTTTGAAGTTGAACAACACTCTCGGATAGTCGTTTTCAACCACCTCATACATCTTTGTCTCTTTACAAAACTCAAGCTTGTGACTTGATTCCGTTAATTTGAAAGCACTTTTGTCCTCCTCGAGTTTCCAGCTTGTAATGACATACACACCACCTTCGATGAGGTTAAACTCTTTGAACTTTGGTGCCAAGAATCCGGGTGCCGAACCATGAATCCGTTGACCCTAAAAAAAAAGAAAAAATTATATTATTAGCAAATTATTATTTTGAAACATAAAACATCAATTACAATAATAAAATGCTTGAAAAAAGATAAATACCTTAACATCATGAAATATAAATTGTAGCTCTCTAATGCTTTCTTTGGAGTTCTTGTAGAATTTGGGAAAAAATCTCACCAATCTTAACTTGGCAGCCATTTCTTGTTTTTTGCCAAATAAGTTAAATTGTCAAAGTGAGAAATCATGATGTTTTGGATTTTGAAGCTTGAAAATTAGAATTTTTTTGCCACGTATAAGTGATAATTAGAAAAGAATGGGATGGAGTGAGTGTTTGGCAAATGATTTCACTATTTATATAGGTGTTGGGAAGAAGCAATCAATACAAATTTATTTGAATAATAATGATAATTACAATTTAAATAAATGATTGATGGGAAAAGTAAGGCAATTTGTATTAATTCTTTGACCAGCCCATTTAATATAACATTTTATTATATAGCATTTTATTGGAATAATTATATTTGACAAAATTATGGGATATTCAATATTTTTTTTTTATTTTCGTTATTAGATTAGAAGAGAAAATAGTGAATTATACCAGTCACATTAATTTCACATATTTTATTAGGATTGTTATATTTGCAAATAATATTAAACATTTAATATTTACTTTTTATTAAGAGTTATGAGAGAAAAAAATATGGGATATTGATTCTTTGACCAACAACATTTATTTTTTGAATTTATATTAAAGTTATGAGATTTGCAAAGAATGTTGGATAGTTAATATTTAATTTTTATTAGATTAATGAGATTAGCAAAATATATGGGGTATTGATTGTATTATTTTAAGTAGAGTTATTAGATGAGATAAATATGGAATTACAATTTTCATATTCCCGCCTAATTCAAATGGAATAGGAATTTATATAAAGAGTTTTTTTAAATTTTAAATTCCCGCAACTTTTTTTTTTATTTTTCAGATTTTGGTCTCCTAATATGTAATTATAATTATAATTACTTATAAATTACTTGTTTTGGTTGATCTTTATTTTCTTATTTTTGCAGGAATTGGCAGGAGAGGAGCATTTGAGTTTTTTTTTATTTATTTTTTTAGTTTTTTGTAAATTGTAATATTTTTATTTTATTTTTTTATTTTTTATTTCTTTTCATTTATTTCGTTTAATCTAATCATTGCCGTTTAAAAAATGATTACTTGATAATTGTGGAGACAATTGGTACTTTTAAAAAAAAATTGGTAACAACATTAACTTGTTATTTCAGAATTAATTAGTTGTCATTTTTAAAAAAGTAACTCTTTGAATCTCACAAAATATGAGCTGTAAATTCAGAAAAATAAAAAAAAAAATACATAATAAACAGTAGTAACGGAAAATGACGGAAAACTGCCATGTAAGTATAATTTATTATGTTTTATTAAATGCTGAACTGCCAGTAATTATATATATATAGATTCTCTTAAGTCTATCGTTTTAAAAAAATAAACCTAATGTCGCAATTCGCCATCACTCACTACCAGCCATATTTGGCAACCATTTCTCAGTGGCATCATCGTTCCACCTCCACAAATGAAGCTCGTCTCGAATTCTTTTGCCCTGAAATCGGGCGTTTGTTATTTGATCCGGAAACTGCAAATACGTTTCCTGTGTGCTGCGCCGGCCCGAACCCGCTCGTCAATGAACAAACCGTCGTCGGGCTCTCTGTACAGTAGGATCTCGCCGTTGGGCGACCCGAGCCTGTCCGTGGCGACCGTGCTTGACCAGTGGATCGTAGAAGGAAACTATACGTGCAGATGGGAGCTTCAGAAAATTATTCGCGTGCTCATGGTGCATAAAAGATTCAAACACGCTCTCGAGGTTCCCATTTTCTGTCTTTTCTGCTTTATTTGCTTATTGCGTAGTTCAATTGCATTCGTGTTTAGAAATTTCAACCTTGCAGTGGATCTCTTCTCTGATATTCTTTGTCCTCTAGCCTTTTATTTTCTGGATTCAGCAAATTTTCCCAATTTAAGTTCATTACCAGTACACTAATATCATTAGTAGTTTGTTTTTCTTCTTTCTTTCCCCCTTTTGTGGAAAAATCTAGGGTTATTATGTGAATGTATGTTTGTTTTGGTTCTACATTTGGCTTGAGACTCTTAATTCGTTAACATCCCGCCGAGCCATTTTTTATTAACAAAATGACACCGAGCCTTTATTGCAGCCCATGTTACTGAACATATGCTCTCTTGGCGGATTTGTAGTAGACGGAATGTCTATATATAATATGATGAGAGGG